CCAGTCTGCGGTCCGAAATCCGCAGTCCGCAGTCGATGTTTTACACTGACCGCTTTTCATTCAACCAAAACTTTCCAAAAATTGGAAACAGCGGCAAATGGTACAGAAATTTCCCAAAAAAGTTTCCAGAAATTCCGGAAACTGTTGGATTTCCGAAATGCGAGCCATTCAACTGCACTTTACATCCTAATGTTATGAAACTAACTTCTACCAGATTGTACAGATCGTGTTTACCCGTAGCTTAAAGCTTATTGTAATATATATTTTTTGTTTTATTTTTTTTTTGTCAAACTCGGTTTAGCGTAGCTTTAGAGTCTAATAGGAATGTGTTGATCATTGTTAGCCATAAAATTACGGTCGTTATGTGGTGGTCATGTATCGAAAAAAGCATCAAGAACTGAACGTTTTCTTGAAGAGCAGAGATAATGTGTTCGCATTGACAAGGCACACCATCCCATACCCATAAACCCCAGTTGGGTTTCCCATTATACTACAGCTGAATCTCAGTTGCTTCAAATGTGACCGACTAAGCCTGGTATTGTTTGCTTGCTTAAAAGAGGGACTTCAAAACCCGCAGCTCAGCTCAAAAATGTTGAAAGTGGCCCTGTGTTGTACTAGGTAAACAAGTGCAGTTGGGTTTTCTCGAGTTGACAATCAGAAAACAGTTTTTGAAAGCTTGTTGTTTGTGGTCGACACAAACATTTATCTCGGTTTCGGCGCAGAAATTTCAGTTGTGTATTTTGTGATGTGTTCAATTCGAAAATATCAGAAAGCCCTACCCTAAACCTTTGGCCTTAAAAAAAAAAAAGTTTTGCTTGTAAACGCTAACTTTTCGAATCAATTAAACTGCCGTCAAAACATCCAACACACCCATAATTAAAGAGTGATTTTGACAGTATACAAGTTAACAAAGTAATAAAATGCATATTAAAGTGCAACACTGCTTAGCAGTCTAATATTTATATCACGGGTTCAGTAAAGTTATTCTATTGTCGAATCGATACACAAGTGTTTAATAGCCGCCCGGTGACGCATTTTATAAACATCTTGACAGTTTGTCAGCAATAAATTAAAGGTTGATACTCTAATTAAAGTGTAAGGTAGTCGAGTTCGAAATGGGACAAAACGACACCAGCAGAATTTTTTTGCGTATTCGATCATCTCTTTTCACACTGTAGAGACTAACTTACAATTTTTTATTCCTGAATTTAGAAGTCTATTGTGTGCACTGGCTACCATAATTATTAAAATAAACCTTGTTTGCTTGATTAAATGTCTTTACACAACAGTCAAGCAGAATTTATTTAATACATCCAGCTCGGGATCCAGCTTTACTTCAGTAAACGAAAATGCCGGCCTAGAAGTCCTGTAATCAAACTTTCGCAGGTATGAAGTTGAAATGCGTTCGAGAGTCGATTGCAGTAAACCACTAGTTTCAAACTGTCTTTTAATTAACGTACGAGATGGAATGTGAATTACTCTCGGCATGCAAAGATGGCCATTATTTATCCTTTATCTGGTTGTAATAATCTATGCTAGAAACATATATATCTTCAAGTGAAAGAAAACCTCGATTCTACAGTATGATTTCTCACCTCGGAGCTCAGTTGTGTTGTGTTGTCTTTAGTCAAATGAGAGCAGTTTTCCATACAAATCATTCTCGCTGTTTGCTCGTCGACCACTTCGTCGGTGGCGCAACAGAGTTGGAAATTTGCATACAACAAGCACGCTACACAGAGAATTCGGTAGATTGCCGATAGCAACATCTCGAGATATCGAACTTAAGCCGTACTCAGTGATTTAGTACGGTTTACCAGTGGTAACTTCAGTAAATTTTAGTGCTTCCTAAAGGAGTTAATCATCAAAGCTTGTGACCTGGGGTCACCTCGGATTCAATTGGCGGAAAAGGTTCAAAACGAGACAGCACGCGACATTTGAGATGCATTGAATGTTAGGCTCGATTGCCACCCGGGAGACGGCGGAAATCTTGAATGTTGGCTTTTATGCAAAAAATGAAAGCTCTTGGTTTAGTTTCACGTGGACCTCCCATTATTCACGCTCTTACCTGCTGTTTGCTCGTCGACTACTTCGTCGGTAGCGCAGCATATTTGGAAATTTGCGTACACCAAGCAAGCCACACACGCAGAGAATTCGGTAGAAACAAATTTATTCCAAGTATTTAGATGATTTAAATTCGATTCTGTTCAGATGAATTAAGTTTAGCTGCCACATTTTACATGTAATGTAATGCATATATTGATATTTTATATTTATCATCAATTGATAATAAAAATATAAATATTAGATCTATTTTTAGAACGTATAAAGGCTAGTCACGGTTCGCCACCTAGCCTTTGTGATTTTAGCTCCAGATCCGACATCAGAGATGACGTTTGTCTAACAGATTCCACACAAACCTGGCCTGCATGAAGAAACATCTTGGACGTATTTTTGCCCAAAAAACCTTATAGTCGGACCCTTGTACGCGTTAGGGAAGATTCAACCATGCGCTACGTGCGTAACTCTTTGTACTGGAAGACTTCCCGAGTGGAAATAGGAAATACATCGGGTTGTTGACGTCACGCTTACACCATTTGTAATCAGGATACGAAAGAAGCTGACTAAAGGTCACTAATCGAGTTACTCTGTACGTGTAATTAATTACTCTGTTCAAAGCAACGGTTAAATAGTCACACATGTTCAAGATATGAAAAAGATAAGGGTTTGCGCTACATTGACATAGTGATAGTGATGCGTAATCGAAGAAAATCTGAAAACAGGAAGTGGATAGTTGTAGAGAAATCGGCGGAATATAAATATAACTGTAAATATTGCACATATCATGCCAAAATATAAAGCAAGTCGATCACACACAATTCTTAGGGGTATACATAGATGAAAATTGTGTTGAAAATTTCATATCAGTTATGTTTCAATGAAAGTATCAAAAATAGCAGGAATAATAGCTAAAGCAAGACATTATTAATTTAGAGCTAAAAAATTTAAAGGAATTATGCAATACCATGGTTTATCCATACCTGACTTATTGTAACATTAACTGGGCAAGCACATATCCAACTAGACTAAGATCTATTTATACAACACAAAAGGAAATGGTAAGACTCATGACTTTTTTAAGTTTTCGAGAAACTTTCCAGCCTTTGTTTAAGTTATTAAAAATAATGAATATACTATGAAACAAGTCTGTACCTGTACCTAATAGCAAACTTCATGTACTTACATTAATATGGCAAACTTCCTGAAACTTTCGATAACTACTTCGTAAAAAATGATAGTATACACTCCTATAATACTAGCTCAGCTTCAAAAATACACATTGATTTTAAAAGAACAAATTATGGAAAATTTTTCTATTCAGTATAGAGGAGGAATAATATGGAAGAGTTTACCAAATGATTTGAAGGAATTAAAATCAAGCAACGCATTTAAGAAAGCATTACATACATATGTACAATCAGCGAAAAATACTCTGATACCTTGATTAATATGTGAAGTGATACTCATTATGCCACCTTTTTAATGTAAAGAAATCATTCAGGAACCTTTAAAAAGCTCATCGGAGCTTGCTGAGTTTCCTTTTGCCTTGACTCTCTATATTATATATTTTGTAATTACAAGATTATGTACGATGTATGAAGGTTTGCAATTTATAAATAAATAAATAAATATTGAACAGGAAGTCGATGATATAGTTATAGAGAAATCTGCGGAATGTAGAGTGTATTTCTAGACTAGTAATAGTTTTCACTAGAGCTGTCCCCGTTTTTGAAGATCTGTTCAACACCTGTATATGGTTTTTACTGGATATAAATACTGTGAATACAGAATGTTACAAAAAGAAACGTTTGAATATTTCTTGAAGTTAACATCCATGTAACTGGTTAGCATATTTCTCTGTAAATTTGACAATGAAATCTATTACAGTCATACAGTCTTGTTTTTGCGACACAGCAACGTATTGTATGTATAATTACCTGCAATATATTATCCATAAATCAGTTGATATAAATGTATTTCAATTGTAAAGTTAATATTCTGTGTAACAGGAATGTATTGTACGTTAACAATTTGAGTAATTGTTGGGAAAAATCATTATAATAACCATAACAACAACAATAACCAAACTTGCAACAATGTATAAATCTATAAAAATATAATCATCTGCAGTATATTTATCTATAAATCAGGCAATATAAATCTATTTCAATTGTACAATTAATACTTGTGTAACAGGAACTTAATAAATTTGTGTGTTATTGACTTGTTGGGAAAAATCATTACTGACAATAACCATTGCAACAACAATAATCAGTTGTAACCATGTACAATGTATTGGTATAAAATATGATTATCTGCAATCTATCTATTTAGGCCTAAAGAAGGAAATATAAAGTCACTACAACCATGCAATCTACTTCTACTTCTTTTTAACAATATTTTGTATTATAATAGCATGGTTATTTCCTTTTGGAGATTTTTTTGGATCACGCCAGAAATTTACCAAAAAGCTAACAATAAGGACAAAACAAATTCAGTGATTTTCTTTGTCCGCGAAATAGTTACACTGTGAAATGGAAAGAGCCGAATCGGCCCCAAAAGCCAAATCGGCCCCAATTTCTTGAGGGCCGATTTGGCCCATGTTGGGCCGTTTTGGATAACAAGAGCTAAAACAGTTTCAGATGGTACCGATTCGGCCCATCTTATTTCTGAAATGGCCACACTAAATACCATTTTGGCCCTTCCCCTCAATTTGGCCTCTCTAAGGTCCAAATAAGGAGATGCCGATTTGGCCCCAAGAGGGGCCATTACACTCTATTATTAATTGAAACGAAAAATAAATTTTTATGATTTTTTTTTTCTAATTCATAAGTGATTAAGGAAGAAACGGAGACACGTTGGGTCTAAAATAAATTTTTTATTTGTAGGAAGATGATACTCTTTTGTGCAAATTATACATATACATATAAGTCCAAAGTACGGTCCGTTTAGTCGAGCAAGGAACTGAGATAACTTAAAGTAGACCTAAAAACGTGACGACAGTCAAAGACTGTAAAGTAAATCATGGTTTCGAGCGAACATTTGCCTCGAGCGAAGCTACAAATCGGAAACAAAACTACAATCACGCTCCCGAATGTTCTGCACATGTTTTCAATGTCGATAACATCACATGATGCGTCACGCAAACTAAACGCTGGGGGGGCCCGAGGGCGTTACAGTACGGTACAATGTCCCTAGGTATTGATAGCAAACAAAGACCCAGCCATGTACATATATTTTCTGATTTATAAGTAAAAGGTTTTTAAAATTTCAAACGCCTGCCACGCAGGCTAAAAATGAAACGACATGTACACAATCGAAAACATATTTTATGAATGAAAATGGGGCCTGCCAGACGGCCTTGAAACAATGCACAACTGGTCAGCGGGCTTTCCCTCTGCACATGTACAGCAACGGTTGCGAACATGCCAGTTTTTCTGGGGATCAGGAGTCTTGTATTATACTTCTCGATAGCATCAAAGGACATTCAAGGTGTTGTTACTAATTATTTTCGAACTATGAGCCGTCGTTGATCCATTACTGCGCTCTTGAAGTTCGTCGTGAAGAATCGGAGACAGAAGCCTCGTGCGGCGCAACGGTTTTCAAGATGAATTGCACTAATGTAACAAACGCTCTCCAAGAATCAAGACTTTGCTGGAAAAAGCCGATAGTAAGACCAGGTAACCCGCCCTGATTCGCTCTCTTTCTACCAAATGCAAAAGTCTGAGCTATTTTAACCACGTTTGATTAAACAGAATTCAGGGTCACTCAAGTCCACCTTGTCGGAAGGCTCTGAAGAACGAGTCATTGGATGCTTTTATTATGTAATGATAAGGTAATAAGTGACCCTGTATTCTGTAGTTAAGCCAGTGGAGGAGTTAAAAGCACTTCTTCCATCCCATCACTGTCCCTATTTAAAACAGGGAGAATGATAAACAGAATGAAAAACCCTTAAAGCCATTTCAACTAAAGAAGACGGTAAAGATGGTGTGGTCTGGTTATACATTTACACTGTAGATTTCAGTACTCAGTTTGTTTTAAAGTAAGGTTACCAATGCATTATTTCTCTTGTCTGATAAATAAATAAATGCGTAAAAACAGAGAAATTTAAAACCTTTTAACCCTAAGATCAAAATTTTAATTCTCATTTGTTGTCCCTATTCGTTTCCTACAGACGTAGTGGGAAGAAGTTGATAAAATATTAAGCAAATTGTGTGATCATGTCCATAATTCTCATGAACACCGTGTTCTAAAAAGTATTGATTTTACAAGGAGAAATTTGATGCTGATCACTCTTGAGGCTCAAAGGGTTGAAAGAATAATGTGAATTATAATGATAAAATTATGTATAAAATTAGGAAATAGAATTTTAGGTTGCAGAATTCTGCAGGTGTGATAGAGGTAAGAGGGTGTGTCAGTCAATTTGTTCCCAGAATTACTCGGAACTGTGTGTAAATAGAGTTGGTGCTCCAAGGAAACCAGTTTTAATTTAATAACATTTCTCCTATGGCAGAAATAGAAAGATGGGCATCCTTTTGGTAGTGAACAAGGTTCTGCGGCATTGATCGGACCGCTAAGAGGACTTAGGGAGGAAATTATCACTATTGTAGAGGTATGTGTTTTGGGAATACAATGTTTTTCCTGATATTGTGATACAAAATACCAAAGGAGTGCTACAAACTCAACTGTACAGTGAACCCTAAATGCTTGGGAAGCCCAGATACAAGTGGAAGTCAGACAAAATGGAGATGCAATTTAGCCTTTCCTTTATTATGAAGGTATCCTTTGGGGCCATTCCGTCACCAGACTACACCAAATCTCACAGAATAATAATGCGTACATAATACTTAATAAATTTTGATTTACAGCTGCAAAATTTCTTGATTGGTGGGAAATACATGTACTGAAATAATCTTCTTGTATCAGGACATGCACACTGTAATTACCTCCTCAATGTGTGAATGTATCAGACATAATTATGCTATCATTCTTTTTCCCATAACATAAAGGAAGCATAATTTCGACAAACTATAATTTATACAGTATACCATACATGCATACCTGAAAACTGGAAAGAAGTAATTAAACCAACATTTTTTTGACAATAGTATTGTTATGACCATACTGACTTTTTATGTGTGCGCACTGTTTGTTGTGTTTTGATTATTGTTATTATCATTTCTAAAATTACAACATTTGTTCTTATTGCAGAGGGATGCAGATGTTGACAGGAAAATTCAGGATTTTGTTGCGACAAAGGGAGGCATTATTTGCGAGCTTGCTCAGAAGAAGATTTATGCAGTGATAGTATTGCTTGGGTGTTTTTATGTATTTAATGTGTCATACACCCAATGCAAAGCCATCTTGACTTTTCTTGATCAGGCATTGCTTGAAAGTGGACTGGGGTAGACACTTGTCAATATTTCCTCCCTTTTTTAATGACTTGGAAAATGCCTCAGTTCTTGCTGAATGTAAATTCAGGACAACCTCGTGAGGTGTAGCCAAATTGTCGAAGTTTTTTTCATGGAAGTTTTCTTTCACCCTTATAGACCAAGATTTGGCAAGATTTTTTAAACATAATATCTGTGGCGTAAAATATAGTTTAAAACATTTGCCAAGTCATTGAGGGCTGGTTTACTAGTAAGATACAGAGTCAGAATTGTAATCAAAAGCATAGAGTGTTGATCTAGATAAAACACTAACAGGGTATAATTACTCCAATTATGACTCCTTCACTTTTGATCTAGTGAAAACTATAAAGCATGGGAACAAGAATTTTGACTGGTAAGTGGTTTATCCTTTGAAGACAAGTGTCTCTTTTGGCCAATTTAATTCCTCCAATAATTTTAAATGTTCAATCTAGAAAAGTTGAGATTAACCAAAGATAATGTTACATAGGTTGGAATACGCGTTGTTATCATGTACACAGATCACAGTAACTTATTCAGAACTGAATAAATGTTTGAAATAAGCCTTAGTTTTCTTTCATTATTTGTCAATACCTCATTAAGGGAAGAAATCTGTAGGCCCCCACCCAAATTAAAAAAATTATAATGGCCCAATATGGGGCTGAATCGGCTACTTTTTGAGGGGTCGTTTTTAAGAGGGCCAAAATTTGAGGGGCTGTTTTGGCTCCTGGAAAATCCAAAGTGGCCCTAGTGTTTTCCATAATTATTGGCCCTTTACATGGTCTAATTTGGCCCCGATGCAAGGGCCAAATTAGCCCCAAATTTTGGTACCAAAACAGCCCCATCTCAATAGGGCTGAATTGGCCCCAAAACAGTACCATTCTGGACTCACCCGTTTCGGCCCCATTTTTGGGGCGGGTTGGCTCTTTCATTTTACAGTGTACTACTCCACTGTTTTGTTTGTTTAATTTGACTATTATGCACTTAACAGATATCGTTTCATGGGGTAAGCTAAATCAGCTTATTAAGTTTTTAACGGAATCACTTGAAACGACTGTGGTCAGAGTGATTTTATTTGGCCCATAAATAGCTACTACACTATGAGTTAGTATTACACACTTATTCCATTGCTTTCTTTTGTTAAGTTTTGACTATTACGCACTGATTGTCAGATAGTGTTTCACGGGCCAAGCAAAATCACTCTAATATCATAAATTGTACTCTTTTGTTAAATTTTCACTAGTGTCTGTTCAACTTAACAGTTGTTTTTTTACCAGACAGTTAGCTGTTCACTTTTCCAGTAAGTTGAGGCATGGGCTTTCATACTTATAACAAGTTTGTTGTTCTGAGAAAGCTCAAAATCTACATTTTCGAGCAACAGCAATTTCTCAGTTAGATCGTCAATGTTGACTTTGTACTGCAAGATGTCTTCTTGGAGGAAGTTCCCCACAATCTTTGGAAATGCTGTCACTGAAAAGTGCTTGTCCTGTTTTTCTAGATGAAAGTCAATGTTCATTTCAATATAGCAGTTCTTCAGAAGCATTGCCCTGTTACAGTGTAGACAACGAACAATCTTGGACCCAGGGTTTTCACTAATTTTCTTGCGACAGTCTTTGTTGTTGCACACTGGATAGACAGTTGGGTAAATGTTCAAAATTTCAGGACAGCATACCCAGTTTGCTTGTTTGTGCGAAGGCTCCACATGGGAGATGTCCTGCTCGTGTGCTTTTGTTATCGTTGTGTTAACTGTGGTGGCAAGGCGTTTTCCAAAATACTGCTTCAGCTTGCAGTTGGTCATAGTGTAGAATTGATTGTCTTCTATCTGCTGGATGTGACTATCCCAGACTGATAGATTAATAGTTCCAGTGGGGTCTGTTATTTCATCTTCCCTTACCACTTTTGTTGCATGTTCTGGTTTGGAAGGTTCTCCAAGCCATTTAATGCAGCCAGAAACAGTAAAATTCCCCGAGTTGTGGTTCTTAAGAATGGTATCCACGGGTGTTGATGTCATTGGGGCCAGTGGTTGGAATGGAAACTGGATGGAATGTGGTGGTGCATCTTGAATAACTGTTCCCCTGTTTAGGAACACCATGTTATTGATGCAACTTGTAAGTTGGAGAGTGTTACGGGTTGCTGTGTCTGCATCTTTTGAAGAAAAAGTTGGCGCTTCGAAGACTCTCCTCTTTGCACCATGACTCTTACCAACTGAGTTTTGTCTTTTGCAGTTAGCAGGCTGATGTCAAAGTACAGATTTCTGGAGGATTTACTTTCCTGTACCTCTTGAACGTCCTGAATGTATCCAGTGTAATCTGTTGAAGAGAAATAATTTGTGAAAAAAATAATTAAATTCAGGACAAAAATTCAAAGTTTTGTTAAGCAGAAATCTGCACAAGTAATAGAAGACATAACAGTAATAAATTCTTAGTAGTATTAATACATTACATAATAGAGGAAAACTTACTTGTAGTTGAGCTTGACAGAGGTGTTGAAGTTGGGGATTTAGGGATCCCATACTTAGCCCTGTTTGTGGGACTTGGGCTGGCAGAATAATCCATCTGTTAACTGAGAATTGAACGATTTGTAAGTGACCTTTATTACACTGATAAAACATTTAAATGATAAGTGTATATTTAAAAATTTTTAGGTTAGAAATTTTGATGGTAATATTTACTTAAGGTGATTCCAGAGTAAAAGAACCTAACGTAGATTTTAGCTAAAACTTGGTACACTGATGTAACAAGTCAAGAAGATGACAAAAAAGTAATAAAAAGTGGGGCTCACCGTGCTCGTTTTGACGTCACAATGCTGACAAATACGGCTATTTAGGACCCTTTTACAAAAACCACCGGCAGCGCAAAACTAGACAAAAAGGAGAGATTTTCTCGATGATGCATGTACCATCACACAGAATTTGACTTTAATGTATTGTTTATCCACTTACGTACCAGAAAAATGCCTTTTAATGCCCTTGTTTTTACTTTACGCTCCAAAGCAGAATTAAATTGGACGCGCGCTTTTCGACCCCTGGTGGCTCAATCCGTACAATTTAGTAAAACTGCCAAAAAACTGAACATAGATTTGTGCCAATTTTTTTTCTCATCGAAAGGAAGCACTGTCGTTATTAAAATCATGAAATAAAAAATGGGGGTCACCGTACTCGTTTTTGCGGTAGAGCTGCAGAAAGTGCGCGCCAAACGCATTTTCTCCGATTTTTGAGAGAGGACTGGGGCGAGTTTCAAAATAGAATGTACCGTATTTATTCGAATAAGCGCCCAACCTCGAATTAGCGCCCACCTTGAATAAGTGCCCATCCCAAAGGCAGAAAAAGTTAATAAGCGCCCACCCTCGAATAAGCGCCCACCCCCTACTCCTCCCAATCAAACTCAAATAAGCGCTCACCCCACCCTACCCACTTGAGTGAATAAATTCTAATAAGAGACTTCCCCGAGGACGGAATCTTCCTCAGAGTATTTTACAAAAACCTTGCTTTGTTACTCTTTCACGTTTTCTTATTAGCATTTATTGTTTTGTTACAAAATAAACATACTTCACTTGCTGAAAATGGTGAAAATTTAATAAGCGCCCAGCCTCGAATAAGCGCTCACCTCGAATAAGAGCCCACTCTCAAGGTCCAAAAATTTAATAAAGCGCCCAGGGCGGTTAATCGAATAAATACGGTATGTGAAAGGGGGGAAAAGTATTAAAAACCCGTTTTTACAGAATTTACATCGAGATATCACATTTAGGACACAATGTGAAAAAAAGAAAGTGTTTAAATGAGAATCAAAGTGAGTAAGCACAAGTTAAACATCCACTATCGAGGTTCTCCGAGAGGAAGTCAAACTCAGCAACACGCGTACTGCTTACGTTATGCACATTCCCAACACATTCAGTCTCACCTCGGCAAGAAACAACAGCAAGCAAAAATTCTAATAGCGTTTCTCTTCAGTCAACCTCATTTATAATAATATTACTTCACATGCTCTTTTTTTTTACGGCCATCTTGTTATGCGCAGTAAGAGATCGCAGTGCAAAACTAGGGAATCACCTTAATTAGTATGGTAGATACTGTAAAATGTAATAATGCAGTTTCACTGCAAGTTGTTTTCGTAATTAATTATGCAAGGTCTTTTCTGTCAAAATGTTTAGCCTAGCTTCTTCTAACAAACGGAATTTATAATTTGATGTCTTCTTAATTGACTGAAGTCTTTCAAAGCTCATTGGTTCAATCACAAGATCAGAAAGTTTACGTACTCTTGACAAGGCAACATAAGCTAGTCCTGCAACGTTTTCAGAAGGTCCTAAGTCTACCCATGATTTCTTAAGGGTGAGCCCTTGTGACTTATGAATGGTTATGGACCATGCAAGTTTTAATGGCAGCTGCTGTCTTTCAAGATTTAGTCCATTTGTATCATTAATATGAGATGTTACTGGAAAAATGGGCACACAATTTGGCATATTTTCACAAAAGCTTGGACCTATGTAATCGTCCTTATCAAACTGCACAATTCCAGCAATTGGTAGCATGGGTGGCCTTTGATTCTGTGCAAAAATTATGTGCTTTACAGTTCCCATTGTTCCATTAGAAAGTCCTACCCTAGTCCAAAGGTTCGTTGTAAACATAACTCTAGCTTTTCTGGCTAAATATACAGTTGGTTCTAAGCCGCCCATATCTTCTGCACTAATTTGCTTTGCTTTAGGGTTGGTGTGATATGCATTGATCTGTACAATGGGTTCTCCAAGTTGCTTTAGTCTTGTAAAGTTATGTGTTGCCACCTTTTCATTTCAAATGACAATTTCACAACAGAGGTTTCAAAATCTGCAATGTTTTCGACATTTTGAGGTGTTCTTGACAAAAGCAAATTCCAGTCGTCAAGACTTGAATTTCCATCTCTTGCCCTTGCTTGAAGATCTCTAAACTGTTGTTGAGCAATGTCTGTACCTTTTGCTCGTTCATTTTTTTCAAGCTTAACAACTGTTTGAAACTTTTGGTACATGCAATATCCTTCTAAAGCAATTTCATTTGCTAGTTTAGTGTGATATATAACCTTATCACTAATAGAAGGTAATTGGCCAATGTCTCCAACTAATATTACAGAAATTCCACCAAATGGAACAGTAGTGTGACCAGTTGCTTCCTTACAACGCTTGTAAATCCAACCAAACATTTTCTGGCCAATAACAGAAAATTCATCGATAATGAGATATTTTGCTCCTTTCAAATCACCTTGCAACCTTGTCAAAGCAGATGATTTTAATGGTCCATTTTTTACCTCTTATTGGTAGCTGCAGAAGTGAATGGAGAGTAGTTCCCTTTATATTAAATGCAGCTATTCCAAAGTAAGCACATACTTTACATTGTTCATTTAGAAGATTTGTTACTGCTTGTATTACAAAGCTTTTGCCAGAACCACCTAAACCAGTTAGTATCATGAAAAGTTGATCATTGGTACTTCCTAAAAAGTGGTCTCTGATGATGCTGAAAGCAACTCTTTGATTAATTTCAATTGGCACTGGTGTTGCATTTGTTTGCTGTATAATGGCATTTTTTTGCTGATCTATCCAGTGGGGCATATCACCTATTTGCTCTGTTGTATAAAATGATCGGTCTTCAGCAATGTGGGAGTCAGTTTGATTAACACAGGGTTGTTCAGTTTTATCTTTTTCATTGAATTTCAGGTCAGCAAGAATCATCCACTCTTCTCTCTCACCGGTATCTGTTTCTGTGAAGTTGTCTTTGTCAATGATTTGATTCACATATTCTGAAATTGAATTTATTTGCTGGAGTCAATTTGGAACAAATTGTTTTGCATTTGGTGTTTGTAAAAAAGAGTGCCAGTTATCAATGTAAACAGAATCAGATCCTTCTTTGTCACCCCATGCATTATCAACTGAATGCTGCCAAGGTTTATATCTTAGTAACTGGTATCTACAGAACAAACCATAAGAAGGTCCTTTGGGGCTTGAAGAATAGTTAGGATAAGCCTTAATCACAACAGGAGAAGTTCGCTTTTTGACTCCTTTTTTAGATTGAAAGTAGTTAGAGGCAAACTCTGTGAAATTGCAATTGGAAATTCCTGGAAAATCTGTTTCATATAATAGCCCTGCCTGCGCAAGTGTCAAGCAAAGAAGGCTCAGTGTTTAAACTACCATCTGCTGTTAATTGTACTTTGCGAGATCCACCAAGGGATGTTGTTATTACTTGAAAAGAAGAACTGACAAGTTTGATTGAAAGTATGTGATGCATCATTTCTTGAATACTCATATCTCTTTGCCCAACAACTTTCATCATTAATTTCCTCAAAGTGCTTTTACCATTATTTTGATTCGAAGATTCACAAAGTACTGATGT